GTCTCTAGTTTGGTTAGATTAGCAATAGCTACAGATAGAAATGTATAGAAATATATAATTCTTGAATAGCTTAATCTTAAATAAACAGAGGCAGGATTGCCGAATTATAAAAAAAAAAATTTAAATTTAGAAAATGTCTATGATGATTGTATCCTGAAATTGTATTTATACCATGTTTCACTCATCAAATGAATCTTTGTGTTAGAGATATCTTTAAAATTTCAAGTTTATTTTCAACTGTTGCTGAACAAGCTATCCAACTTGTATCTTTTTTTAATTAGTCAACTTTTTTTTGGGGGCGTTTTCGCTCTAAACAAGCAGCATTATATAAATCATATGTTTCTTTTGTATCACCAAATTCTACTCGATGGAATAGTCATTATTTATGTTTTGCAAGCATTGTCAAATCTCATACAGCTCTTAAGAATTTAGCTACAAAAATAGAAGAAAATTATAATAATAATCTTAAAGATTTTTCTAGAAATATTCTTTCTAATATTTCAAATAGTAAATGATGAAAAACGTTTATGCAGTTAAAGGTTCTTTTTGAACTATATATAGCATCATTAAATAAACTACAATGAGATAAAGGCTATCTTTCTGAAGTGCTTCATAGTTTTGGATGGGTGTATTAAGTAATCAAAAGCATTTTTGATCAAGAGCTTAAAAATTCTTTGATAGTAAAATTAGAAAAGCGATGGTCTGCTTGGGAGCAGCCATTACTACTTCTATCTTTTTTATTGCATCCTGACTATCGTATATCCCAATTTAATCAAAGTATTGATAATCTTTCTTTTGTGCATATGGGATATTAGATTGTAGATTATTATAAATCTTGGTTTGGTAAAATACTAAATTCTATTTTACTTGAATTATAATGTTATAAAAATGAAGAATATTCTTTTGATAAGGAAACTTTTAACTAATTTCATGGTGATGTGTTGTGGTATTAGAATTTTTGTAAAGGAGTTGCTGTAGAATTACATCTTGTAGCAATTCGAATTTTTTCAATTTGTATTACTATAGCATCAGTAGAACGATTATTTTCTGCTATGGGATGGTATCATTCAATGCGACGTAATTAACTTCAGATAAATTTTCTAAATTTTTTTTTATTTTATAATAATAATTAAATAGCATTTATACTCTTCTATTTACTAATCTAATACTAATAGAATAAAAAAGTTCTTGCTATGTATCAACTAAGATCTAAGCTTTTGTACTCATGAAGTATTAAAGATATTAATAAGGCATTAAAAATATATAAACAAAACATCGTTATTCCACTTAAAAATAATAAACAAATAAGTCTTAATAAGAATAATGAAAAGGAATTCGATATATTATCAGAAGATGATATGGATATTAGTATAAGTGATGTAGAAGAGCAAAGTCAAATAAATATTGATCAATCAGAAGTGGTTAGATGTGTAAATGACTAGAAAGCAATTGTAGAACAATAGATTAACTTGACTGAGGAGGAAGGTGATAACATGCAATGCAATTCATTTAGCTTAAATAAATCAAATAATGAAAAAATAATACTTCAAAATGATATTCACCCCACAGATAATTTAGCTGCAAAATAGAAATTAAAAGATATTTTTGTTAATTTATTAGTTCAACCAGCTTTTATTAATTTGCTTGCATTATATTTATTGAATCAATTTGGATATTATTTACAGTTATAGTAACATTCTTTAGCAGGTATTTATATTATAGTTGCTTTTATAATCAATGAATTTTTATATAATTTTACAAAAAATTTCTATATATACTAAAAGGCTAGATTAAATTTCAGGTTTTATTATCATTATATCAAGATATTAATATATTTTACACAAAATATGATGACTTTATATATAAAAAATTTAGAGTTTAGCAATTTATAAGTTTTATTAAAGATAATATTATTTTCATGTAACTTTTTTTATTCTATTATATCTTATATAATTTATATCCCTTAAATTGTAATACAGGCAAATTTGCCTGCGTTTATTTTTTTAAACTTTATTTTTTTAATAAAATCT